GATCAGGGAATTCCATAACTCGTCGGGCGAGCGTATCTACTGGAATATGGACACATGCAAACGAGCGCTTGGAAAAAATTGTGAACTGTTACCCTAAAGAACTCAGTTTGGAAAGGACTGATACTGGAACTGGGATTCTTGACTTCTTGGAAACAAGATTGTTCATTGCCGAAAATGACAAACACGTATTAGTAACTCACAAATTTAAGAACAGGGAATCAATCTGGGAACCCGGGAACCTCCATTATCAGACTTACAAAAACCCCGCATCCAAAAAAGCCAAATTCGCCGCTATAGCAAACACCGTCCTACGCATATCCGAGAACTGCAATAGCAGTGGGACTACATGCATCGGGGTACTAACACTAGCTATTGAATTGAAAAAATTGGGGTACGGGGGTGACATCATTCAGACTGCACTCAGATGGATGCAACCGAGAGATTCACGCAATCCCTTTTGGAGCAAAATCCAGGAGATAGTAAAATCCGTGTGCACTAGTAGTAGTAAGGACGAAATCTGACTTTACAAATCTTTGATACGGAAGCCTACGGCTGGTCAGGGCCCGGATACGCGAAGGGTAACTCACAACATCAGGGACCACGTTTCTGAATCGGGTCGAGACGGTGGACTCCATTATATGTAATTGCCTTCTACGTGTACCCGCCCGACAAGAAGGTTATATACCGGCTTCAGTTACTGTGCAGCAGTCTCCAAGCGTTCGTCTGTATGTCCAACGCTTACATCTCTCTGCGAGATTTTGTATCAAGACAAGATGAGCAACTCCATCAAGGATATCCCGTCTTCATAAGAACCCGCTCGGGGTTTGCGGGTCCATACAGGTACCGTGAAAATGGGCAGTCCGCGCCAGCGCCGGCGCTCTACAGTTCTTTAACTTTATCGACGGACAGACGAGCTACGTCTGGCGGGAACCTTACCTCTGCATCGCGACAGACCGAATGACTCCATTCAGATCGTTTACTCCCACCAGAACCTGCCTGTTGAGGCGGTCCGGTACAGGTACGGAGATCGTCGGCAGCCCTCTCAGGCGCTTGGTAACGAGCGCATTTATCTGTTCAGCTTCTTGGACCTCATTTACTGTGTTGTTTTTCTAAGGAACGTATGCCCACTCGAGTTTCCAGGTAGCAGGTGGCAAATCTCTTATTTAAGCACAGTGCTATACGTAGGATGTCCTCAATCTGAGTGGTGTATTGAGTGGAAGGGTTGAGTATCCGTAATGGTGTTACGGATGGTGGAGGGGAAGATGTTGTACGCCACGATATTCAAGCTCAAGGCATCTTCTTCTATTTCGGTTCCATTGGTGTAATCTCTCTCTCATGGAACATGGACAAACAAGAGAGAAAGCAGGACGGGTTGCCCCTGCATCTGTGTTGCATCCCGTACGTCGTACGGGGGTTTTGTCGTACGGCCGTACGGCCGGTCCCGTACAAAGTGACGAACCCCCCCCCCCCAAAAAACGTAATATATATATATATATATATGGGGATGTAGAGCTTTCCGTGCTCTAGACCCCCATATTTTTTATTTTATTTTCTTGTCCTTTTTTATATTTTAAAAAATTAGAAAACATTGAAACGCAACAAAATAATAATAATAAAGAAATAAAAATTGATTGATTGATTGATTGATTAATGAAAAAATAAAAATAAAAAAAATGATGTCGCGCACCTTTTTTTTTTATGGATTGATTGATTGAATGGTTGGTTGGGGGAGGGTCCCCCCCCC